TGTTGTCACGAACGTCGCACTCGCTTACGTCACTGTCATGAGACATTCTCGCAAAAAATCACGGTTTTAGTAACGCAGTAACGCAGCGTTCCTACAGGAAAATAACAGTAATCTAATTACCGTTTTTGCAATAGTAATCCCTTACTTTACTCGTTACTTGAAAAAAGTAATCAGATTACGCGTTACTGCCCATCTCTGCTAATGACAGGACTTCCTTGACTGGATACGTCAGTGTCAACAATCTGAAGACGCGCCTTTTAATGCTTAAAGTGATTTGTTTCAGCTCCTATTATTATCATCCTCGCTGGAAAGTGAAGGCCCACGTAAACAATTCAAAGAGTTTTTTGGACACACTGTGTGTGGCTGTTTCTACTGCTGAGTTCAAAGAGTCCAGCTGGGCAAGAAACAAGAGCAAGCAGTCAGATTTTAAACAAACCTCAGCGTTAAAAGAGGACCTCTTGTCCTTTTCTTATTTTCTGCTCCTATTAAACATGGTTGGGTTTCACGCAATGAGGTCGCTCCTCATAAATCAAGCAGACATATAAGATCTTCAACCAACAGAGAAATCGAGTTAACTTTGCTGGACTTTACTGTGAGAAAAATAGCAGATCAAACAGAGTTTAATCAGAAGAATGATGTGAAAATCAGATAAACGACTGACAGGAGCCAGAAAAAAGTCAACATTTTGCTACATTTCATATCCAAAATCTGAAATCAAAATCTCTCTCTCCTCTGTTTGCTTAATTAAGATCTCAGAATGGCTCCAACCTGAAAACGTTTTTTTCTACTCTTCCGGATGTGTGACATCAGCGATAGCAGGTCTCCTTATATGGTCATCTGAAGGGACCGGTGTGGTTGTGTATTATTGCTGTGCAGAACTTTGTAGATCCATTGTCTACATGTTGTAGTTGTGTTGTTGTTGGATCCCTAACTTAGCCTGTGCTGTGGAGAAGACAAAATAAATGCACACAAAGAACTTGTGAAGTGAAGCCAACTGCAGCCATTACCTGTGCTTTGGTTCTTTGGTTGTTTTGTTGATTTCCCCCTCTCTTACATACGTATAGCATCATCGCCGTTAATGTCAGGCTCTGTGTTGATGGGGTTTTTTCAAGGAAGGCGCACAAGGACTTCTATGTTGGCAACGTACCCATAATCTTTCCCTTTACTTAAACAAAG